TGACCTGGGATGCTTCCATCCAGCTGTGGGGTCCCTATCCCTTTAAGACTTTCAAAAAGCACTCGCTTTTCTTTGTCCCAGGGGCTCCCCCTTCAGGACCTGCTCACAGGTCTTCCTGTCCTGCTTCCCTAGTTTCCAGCACCCCACGCATGCACTGTGTGTCTGCGCTCTGGTGCAGATCACTAGGGCTGGGTGTTTAGCAGTCCTGGGCTCCCTCTCCCTCCCCGCTCCGACTCCTCTCCTCCCACCAGGAGCTGGGGTGAGAGGTACTCGGGTCCTGCCGGGCTGCGACTTGTATCTTACCCCTTTCACCAGGCGCTGGGTTCTCGCAGGTGTGGATGTAGTCTGGCTGTTGTCCTGTGTCTTCTGGTCTCTCTTTTAGGGATAGTTGTATTTGTTGTATTTTCAAAAATATATATGTTTTTGGGAGGAGATTCCCACTGTCCTACTCACGCCGCCATCTTGGCTCCACCACGACTGCATATCTTTGTGCCTCAGTTTTCTCTGCTATGAATTGGGTGCCTCACAGGGTTTATCAAGGATTAAATGTGTTAAATGTTTAAAACATGCTACAGTATGTCAGTAAATACTAATTGTTGTTATTAATATATTGGTTTAGAAGTTTTATTTTGCTGTCTGTGCTCTGGCATTTATTTGCATGGAAGATGCTTTATTGGACAATATTCATTGTATTCTGTCTGGCAATGGGACCAGGTCACATTGTAGGAAAACAAAATGCCATTTAAAAGATAACAAACCTCCTATGTATCTAGCATCTATGATTTTTAATAAGAAAAGCATTATCAGAAAAGGGGATTTGTTTATATGAGTTTGTAATGAAGAAAAGAAATAGTGATCATAATTATATGTAATATCCTAGATATTAGGAAAGAAAATTGCAAGTGAGAAAAACAAATGAGTGACCCCATGGCTTTTGACACTGAAATTGCTATATGATTCTTTGGGATAGGAGTTAATGAGTGTACATAGTCCTAAATAATTTGAGAAAGAAGACTCTAAATCCAATACAGTTATGCAAAGGAACTCTCAGGTTAACAGAATACAGATTTAGTAGATGAAAGGGGAGATGCAGAACTAAAGATAATTATAAAATAATAGTACAAACAGTGTATAAATAGTGGCAGGAACCATAAATAAGCTAAAGTCTGTAGGAAGTGCTTAAGGCAACATAACTTGTTTCTTTTTTTTAAGTAATATCTCAAATAAGATTGGGGTTCAACAAAATGATCAAATTTTTAAGAGGGATGGAATCTTTGGTTCATGTTTTACAACTGTTCGATTCAGGAGGGAGAAGTAGTCTTTGAGTTGGAAAAGATAATAATAATATAAAAATAAATAATTATAGGCTATGGTAGGAAAGCAGCCAGTAAAGGCAATCCTTGACCAGTTTAAGTGCATTTCATTTTCTTCACTTATATCATTCTTCTCCAGCTGCTAATGGACTTGTGGATCTACTCATAAAGTCATTGAGTAATCTCTGAGAATTTCATGAAAATGTATTTGTTACTTGGAAATGTTTAGACATCAGCTCTTTTTCTTTTTTAGAAAGGGGAAAATGTGAATCTAGAAATTATGTGCCAGTAAGGTTGATCTTTGGCAAATTTCTGGAATGAATTTCAGTAGAGGTTTGAGAACATTTATGAAAACATGTTCAAATGTAGAAATTTAATGTGTCCACCAAGAACCTATTATGTCAAGTTAACTTCATTTCTTTTAATAGGATTATCACTTCACATGAATTAGAAAAATATTGTAGTTAGCAGTTTCTTAATTTTAGTGAAATATTTGCCAATCTTTAGCCAAATTTCTGGATAAGATATGTAGTAAATTATTATTTCAGTTTTGAATAAATAGGTACACTTACAGTAATTAGATTCAAAGTAGGTTGAAATTCACAACCAGCATTTCATTAGAGGTTCAGTGTCACTTCAGAGAGATCACCAAGGCATTAGAACAAGATTAATCTATATCTTGTGTCAACATTTCCATCATTACCTGGCTGAAGGTTAGGAAGTAGGCTCATCTGCTTGTAGATTATTCAAAGCTGGACTTGGATAATTGATATTATAGAACGCAATCAAGAATATCTCCCTAAAACCTTACCTCATTAGTGCACTTCTATCTTCTCTCTTAACAAACTGCGCTACTTTTTATGTAATATAAATACATAATGTAGATTGCTTCAGGGAAAAAAAGTGCCTTTTTTTGCTGTTGTTGGCCTGATATTTTTACTAAATTAATGTGTGAATTGTAAGTGTCTCTTACTATAACATACTATCTTTAATGATACAAATTTAAAAATACAAACAGAAAATTGGGAAAGTCTACATAAAGTATTATTTTTCTTTACTGTAGGAATATGAAGCACGGACAGGGAGAACCTGTAAACCACCACCTCAGTCTTCAAGACGTAAGAATATTGAATTTGAGCCACTTTCTACTACTGCCTTGATTCTTGAGGATCGGCCATCGTAAGTATTCTAGTGATCATCAGACACAGTTTATATTCTAAATTTAAATTTAATTTTGTTTACTATTTCACAAAAAATATTTCAAGAAATTAGATGTAGAAATGGTTTTATTTTAAGAAATTTTAAAGTCCCAGTCATGTATCCCAAGATTAATATGGGTGAATACATTGTTGATATACAAGCCTATGTGTATTTCCTAGAAGTTTCTATGAGCCAGTGTTTGAAACATAAAATCTTGACTTTTTATATCTGTTCCTATTGCAACCCTCCTTTGCCTTCTCTTAACATGATAGGGCAATTATTTTATTTTCGTGATATTTAATATGTACTTAAGATGTATTTGTCCTTGACTTTTTGACAGATTTTGAAATTGGAACTTGAAATAAGTACTGATTGTCAACTAGTTGGTTTAATAAGAATATATTCTTAATACCCAGCAAAACATCTTAGATTCTTCTCTTCCCATTCCTGCTCTGCCCACCTTAGCCTTCCACAAAGCTACACTTCAAAATACCGTCTCTTGATTTGTTATCAAAGCACACCTTTCCTAAAGCAAGACCACTCCATTCTTAACTCCTTTTCCTATTCTTGGGCTCTCTGGAGCTATTCTTTTCCTTCTTAGACTTCTTCCTTTCAGTGTAAAAATCCCTATCCTTTTTTGTCATTTTCCTGATCTGCAGTTTTTTCCACCCATTATCCTCAAGAGTATTATAAAAGAAGCTGGGGTCAAACAGGCAGAGACTGAATATTTTCTAGACATTGTGAGAAAAAGTCTTCACCTACATACATTATTTTTTATTCTTCTTCATACTAAACTATTGTGATCTCATTACTCCTTTTTCTGGAACTTGGTGAATATGTTCATATTCATTTTTCCATTGGTTAAAAATAAATGTCTCAGAAATTTAGTAATGAGAACATGTCAAAGTTTTATTTCAGCTGCCAGAGAGGAGAATGAACCAGGCCAATTCAAAGAGTGATTAGATGAGCAAGAAAAGAATGCCTCCTTAAAGATCTTTTGACTAACAGTGACTAGGTTTCCAAGAACTTTCCTAAACTTGTTAAAATTCATCCAGAATGGATTAAGCTTTCTACCAGGACTTTAATTTCTTCCCAGAGAAGTTTATAAAAATATGCAAAAAATTCTATTCTAGACAGTGCTTGGGACAAATTTTTCTTTACACTATAATCTATTTTACTATCAAACTTACCTGTTTAATTCCCAACTTCATGCCTTTGCTTTGCTTATGTTATTGCCCTCACCTGGAATGTAGTTATTTCTACTTCTCACCTACCTAATTTTTTAAGGATTACACTTTATATTTTCTATCAAGTAAAGTCAAATCTTTATTGACTTCTTCAACCTTCAGTGAGATCTGAGTTTCTTGAGTTTTTCTTGTAACTTGTACACATGGTTCAGTGAAGTTGGAACTTGAAATAATATACCAAACATAATAACTTTATAAAAAGATTTCAGTATACTAAAAATGTATAAACAACTGAAAAAAAAGTACTCTTTTTTTCCACTCTACTATTGACTATATAAAATTAATGTATTAATTATAATAGATATTGTATCTTTTGTGCTGTTTCTGTGTTTGTTCATCTGTAATATAGAAGTTCAACTTGGTAGCTACTGTTCCACTTAGCTCTGAGATGCTGTGATTTAAGTAAAAATTTTGTTTACTTTTTTAAATTTGAAGGGGTCCTTTTTTAGAGAAGTGATTTGTATGACTTAAATAATGGAACAAAAATAAAGGAACAGAGGCTTTCATGGTGTTGGAGTATGTAATCAGTCATCCCTCCTTCTACTTCAACATTTGAAAAATACATATGGGGAACAGATGAGAATGAAAACTTCAGTCTTATTGAGGATAAGACCAAATGAGAATACATGGGTGCAACCTGAATATTAAATGGGCACTTCCTACTTTATCCCCCGCAGAATACTCTTCTAGCAGATTTGGGCCAGCTAACATCCATCCCTTCATAGGCTGAGAAGTTGGAGCAGAGACTTGTGTAATCTGTAGTTTTTTTTCTGTTTCTGGATACAGCAAGTTCTGGTAACACTACTACTTCAACTATTAGATGGTATCTGAGAGGATGGAGAAAGAGGCAGATGTGTTTCCTGAACCGTGGAACTGATGTTGAAATCTTCCTCTTCTGTAGGTCAAAGTGATAATAGGACAGGAGGAACTCTCCGTTGCAATGGGAGTTTGTGAATTGGTGCTTCCTTTCCTTTCTTAACCTCTGTAATTTTGCAGAAGCATCCAGAATCATTGTCTGCATAGATTTTTATAGCTGAAACTTTTCTGCACAGGAAGCAATTACAGCATTTAATCTTCTCAACTCTCAGAGGATTTCAAATATAGGAATTTCTATAATATAATCCTTTTGTTAATTTTCTCTCTGTCTTTCTTAATCTTCCTCATAATAAAGACAACCTTAGAGGGAAGATAAGAGCATCCATACAAGCTGATTGTGTTCATATGAGTCTTCTTCTATTCTTTAAATCACTGATGTTTTTATGAGTATTTTTTTTAAACCACCAATAGATAAAGCTATACATCCTTATCTGCTCTAGCTTTCTCACTGAATTACTATGCACATTAGTACCAAACAAAATGGTATAATTACTTACAGATACAAATGAAAGGTGACAAAAAGGTAATGTAGAGGTTCTTATGTCTTATCTTCAAAAAGCAGCAAATGTTCATAACATATTTTACTATGATACATACTATCTTAGATATTAATGGTTTCTTTTTTTTTATTAAGGTATTATTGATATACACTCTTATGAAGGTTTCACATGAAAAAACAATGATTACTACATTCACCCATGATTCACTCATACCCCATTGCAGTCCCTGCCCAACAGTATAGTAAGATGCAACAGTCACTATTTACCTTCTCTGTGCTACACTGTCTTCCCCAGGATCCCCCCACACGATGTGTGCCATTCATAATACCCCTCAATCCCCTTCTCGCTGCCTCCCCAACCACCTTCTCCCACCTCTCCTGCTTGGCAACCACTAATCCCTTCTTGGAGTCTGTGAGTCTGTTGCTATTTTGTTCTTCAGTTTTGCTTCATTGTTATACTCCACAAATGAGGGAAATCATTTGGTACTTGTCTTTCTCCACCTGGCTTATTTCACTGAGGATAATATCCTCCAGCCCCATCCATGTTGTTGCAAATGGTAAGTTTTGTTTCTTTCTTATGGCTGAATAGTCTTCCATTGTGTATATGTACCACATCTTCTTTATCCATTCATCTACTGATGGACACTTAGGTTGCTTCCATATCTTGGCTATTGTAAATAGTGCTGCAGTAAACATAGGGGTGCATATGTCTTTTTGAATCTGAGAAATTATATTCTTTGGGAAAATTCCTAGGAATGGGATTCCCAGGTCAAATGGTATTTCTATTTTTAGTTTTTTGAGGAACATCCATATTGCTTTCCACAATAGTTGAACTAGCTTACATTCCCACCAGCAGTGTAGGAAGGTTCCCCTTTCTCCACATCCTTGCCAGCATTTGTTGTTCTTAGTCTTTTCGATGCTGGCCATCCTTACTGGTGTGAGGTGATACCTCATCGTGGTTTTTATTTACACTTCCCTGGTAATTACTGATGTGGAGCATCTTTTCATGTGTCTGTTGGCCATCTGAATTTCTTCTTTGGAGAATTGTCCAAATCCTCTGCCGATTTTTTAATCAGGTTATTTGCTTTTTGGGTGTTGAGGCGTGTGAGTTCTTTATATATTTTGGATGTTAACCCCTTGTCATATATGTTGTTTACAAATATATTCTCCCATACTGTAGGATGCCTTTTTGTTCTGTTGATGATATCCTTTCCTGTACAGAATATCTTTAGTTTGACATAGTCCCATTTGTTCATTTTTGCTTTTGTTACCCTTGCTTGAGGAGATACATTAAGAAACAAGCTGCTCGTATTTATATTCAGGAGATTTTGCCTGCATTGTCTTCTAAGAGTTTTATGGTATCATGACTTACATTCAGGTCTTTGATCCATTTCGAGTTTACTTTTGTGTTTGAGGATAGACAATAACCCAGTTTTATTCTCTTGCATGTAGCTGTCCAGTTTTGCCAACACCAGTTGTTGAAGAGGCTGTAATTTCCTCATTGTTTGTCCATGACTCCTTTATCATATATTAATTGACCATATATGCTTTGGTTTATATGTGGTCTCTCTAGTCCTTTCCATTGGTCTGTGGGTCTGTTCTTCTTGTGCCAGTACCAAATTGTCTTCATTACTGTGGCTTTGTGGAAGAACTTGAAGTCAGGGAAGGTAATCCCCCCAGTTTTATTCTCCCTTCTCAGGATTGCTTTGGCTGTTTGGGGTCTTTTGTGATTCCATATGAATTTTAGAACTATTTTCTCTAGTTTGTTGAAAATGCTATTGATATTTTGGTAGGGATTGCATTGAATCTGTATATTGCTTTAGGCAGGATGGCCATTTTGACAATGTTAGTGCTTCCTATCCATGCGCATGGGACGAATTTCCATTTATTGGTATCTTCATTAATTTCTCTCATGAGTGTCTTGTAGTTTTCAGAGTATAGGTCTTTCACTTCTTGGTTAGGTTTATTCCTAGGTATTTTATTCTTTTTGATGCAATTGTGAATGGAATTGTTTTCCTGATTTATTTTCTGCTAATTCATTGTTAGTGTATAGGAATGCAACAGATTTCTGTGTATTAATTTTGTATCCTGCAACTTGCTGAATTCAGATATTAGATCTAGTAGTTTTAGAGTGGATTCCTTAGCGTTCATGTACAATATCATGTCATCTGCAAACATTGACAGTGTAACTTCTTCCTTACCAATCTGGATGCCTTTTATTTCTTTGTGTTGTCTGATTGCTGTGGCTAAGACCTCCATTACTATGTAAAAGTGGGGAGAGTGGGCGTCCTTGTCTTGTTCCTGATCTTAGAGGAAAAGCTTTCAGCTTCTCACAGTTAGGTATGATGTTGGCTGTG